GCCCCCTCCCGCCGCGCCAGCCCCGGGCCCGCTCCCCGGCCTGCGGAAACTGCGGCAAGCTGCGGGCAGAGGGGAACTTCTGTCGGGCATCGCACGCCGGTCTTTACGGAGGGAAACGGCAGAGCAGCGGCAGACCCGAGGTCTTCTCCTTCGCCTACTTGCGCTCCGCCACGCGTGCTCAGGCGGCGCGGCCCCTGCCCGTCCCCTCCGTTTTTAAACGTTTCGAGAGGGGGCAGGTTTACAGGGCTGAGGAAGCGCTGACTGCGACAAGCCGCCTTCGAAAGCCCGCCTGGAGAAAAGAGCGTTTCTGTTCGTACCGCCCGGCGAGGGGATGTGCTTGCCGACCCATGGGGACTGGTGGCTGTACCTGTAGTAATCCTCCTTGCAGTAAATACTGCCGTCCTTGGCAAAGCAGGTGAGTTCTGACTCCAAAGCCAGTTTACATTCACAGCACTTAAGACACCTGAGGTGCCATTGTTTGTCAACAGCCAGCAGGTAATATCTGTCTGAGATCTTCCCTCCACAACCAGCACACAAAGCAGGCTTCTCGGGGCTCATTGGGGGCATGTTCTGCAAAACAACCACACCACAAAGGGGATGAGACGGGGAGAGACAGACAGACAGGACAGACAGGCAGGAAGTCCGGGCGGGGGACGGGGTCCTGCCCAGGGCCCGGGGCTTGTACAGAGCCCGCTCCCTGGGACCGAGCCCTCTGGGACCGAGCCCTCTGCTCCCGCCGGGAAGTTTGAGGGGGAACGGAGGCCATCCCCGCTAGGAAAGTTATTTACCGCGATTCAGCTTTCGTGTTTCTCCCGTTAAACCTCTCCTAACGATTTAATGTCATTTCAATACGCGAAAGCAACTGGCGAGGCCTCAGTAAGAAAAGTCCGTTCTTTTCTGAGGTCTCGAAGTTGAAGTCTGTAGTTCCCCCGTTACTTCGGCGTTTGAGCCTTAGGGCGCTCCACCAGAACAGCCTTTTAAAGTAGGAAAAGTAGGTTTGCTGCACCAAAAGTTTCTGGCAGAGGGTGCAGGCTTGCACTGATTCTCCGGTAAATTTTCGCCCGCGCTTAAACCAGCCAAAACCACATTTCTAAAGAAAACCAGGCCGCTCAAAACTGAAGTAAGGAGACAGGTGAACGGTGTAAAGAGCAGTGAGCGCCAACGCTCACCAGCCCGCCCGGGGCAGGGGCCAGAAAGGTGGCACCGGCTGGTTTCAGCTAAACCCAGCATCTTTTCCTCAGCAAACTTCCTCCAGCTCCCGCTAATCTGCTCCCCACGACGGGTGTCGCTCGGGACAAAGGGGCCGGGGGGGGGCGGCGGAGACAAAAGCTCTGCCCTGAAACTTGAGGGAGAAAGAAAAAAAAAAATAAAAAAAATCCCGGACATCTTGTTCTAAAGTCGCAACGGTTTTAAAGCGGCAACTCCGCATTCATTTTCCAATCTGAAGTTGTGTTCCTCGCCCCCTTTTTTAGGCAGCAACTGAAAAGGCGAGTTGAATTTACATTGCAAATCCTCATCCAACAAAGCGGGAGTTTATTTAAGAGAAGGGGGGAAGGACCCTACGGCTCAAAGCCTTAAAGCAGTTTTCCAGGCCGTTACTTTGTGTGCAGAGCCTTGCGTGCCATCGGCGGAAGCCCTACAAGTTGGGGAAAGGGAGATCTCGCTTTGCAACAACGCACAGCGTGACCCTCGGTTTCTCCGCCATCCGTTAGTACATTTGGAAAGACTTTGGTCCTTTGACTAAAAAAAAAAAAAAAATTAAAAAAAAAGGAGATGTTACTTGTTACTGCTAAACCAAGCGGCCGGCGGGCATAACATTCAGGGAGAGCGGTGCCTCTTTGTGTCGGTCCCACACTTCAGACCAAAAATGGTTACGAAAAGTAAGCGGTCGCGGTTTGCGGTTTAATTTAGGAGGTGCCG